TTAATTCAACCTATGCTCTTTGTAAAACAGCATTTTTAAAGCTATACAATATAAGTGATTCTAAATTCAATAATGTTGTAAAGCATTTACATAAAACTAAAGTCAATATTGATGAAAATTTAAAATCAACTGTAAAAAATTTTCTAAATGAATATTCTCCAATACATGGATTACCTTCACCAATGAGACATAGAATGATTCTGGTACATTTATTTATGTATCTTCCCACTGATAAAAAATTTGTGTCTTTGTATAGGGAATTTAAAACATTTTATTTAAAAAAATTGAATCTGAAATGATTTATTCAGTTCATTTATTTGGAATTTGTAAAACTGAGGGAGGAAAAAATCAACAATTAAATTATTTAATAGGAGAAAATGAACTTCTTCAAGGTAAATCCAAGGGAGCAAATATTACTTTAAATTCAAGCTCTGCAAATTTTGCAAAGGATGGGAACAGTGTTGAAATTTCGTTATGTAACTAGTACAAATTTAACAACTATCTCCAAAAATTAAATTTTGATTGGTGTGTAATGTTACACGCACCCGCATTCCCCGCACTGAATTTTTAACACTGGATGGGGAAAAAAAATACATATAATATAACTTGTGATAATTGCTCTGTACAGAATAAAATAATTTATCTTTATGGTTTTGGACTTTGTTAATGATGTTGGGTTGGTATGAAGAGATCACAGTTAACTTTATGATTCCGGGGCATACAAAATTTATATGCGATTCTTTTTTGGTCATATAAAAAATTTATATAGAAATAGTGAAGTTAATCAAATTAATGATATTGAAGAAATTATTAAAATTCTTCAGAAGGAAATGAACCTATACAATATAAGAATGGCTCAGGATGAAAATGGTATAATTTTGGAGAAATATTTGAAATCAACTTTAAAATTTTGCCAAATTAAAGCTCCTCACTAGCTGGCTTGTGAGCCAAAAAACTTATTCAACTTGCGAGCCTATTAAGTTATTTAGCTTGCAAGCTGGCTCATGTGAAGCCTTATGCCAAATATAAAAACAATATCATCATTTAGACTTAGTGCTATTCCAATTAACATAAATCTTGAAAGAAAATTGTATTTGTATTAAAAAATTAGCAAATTTTGTAGATGTTTGCTATAGAGATGTTCATTTTTCAAATCCTAATTCAAATGCAATGCAGGTTAATTAAATCTTTGGATAATTATATAAAGTAAATATAAGCTGTTTTTAATTATAAATTTAAGGTTAAAACAAATAAAACAGTTTTATCTTTGGTGATCATTTCCTTTTTTATATCAAAGAAGGATTTTGGGGACAGTATTCAATAAATTAATTACTATTACACACTTTTTTACTAATTGAAATATTATGCCAAATTATAATCCTTATTTTAAATAATATAGTGGTATCAACAACTCATTTTGGGGTTCTTGAGCCCGAACTATCTTTTTGTTAGGATGGAACAACAATACATGCCTGGATTTCATCCTCGGTTTTTTATGGGGATGCTATTCATGTCGACTAATCCAGTATAAATTTACGTGGCATACCATTCCAGCAGGGTTTCATAGGACCAGATGAAAAAATTTAAATAGTAATATAATAGTAATGGCAATAATATTAATAGCAATAATAGTTTTTGCTAATATACAGTTCGCTCTCTCTATAACGGACCATTTGGCTTATGAAAAAATTATAGAGAATCCGTTATAGACATTAATGATTTATATATTAATATGGGACATATAAATTCTCAGTTCGTTATATATAGAAAGATCGTTATTTTTCAAATTTTTAATAACACTTTCTTTTCATTCAAAATTAAATGTTTATTTTATTAGATTTTCTGCTCAAACAAATAAATTTAAAATCTTTTTTTTTAATACAAATAAAGAAAGAAATTAATAATAATGTAATAATAATAATGCTAATGTATATATATATATCATTGTCTTTTTAATAATATTAACATTCTTTTTCTAATATTTCTTGACAAGTTTCCAATAACTTATTATATCTTTTTATGATGCTAAGAGCACCTTCTTCATTACTATGGTCTGATGTTAAATCACCAGTACGAGACGTAATTTTGAAAATAAGTCCTGAAATTTCATTCTAAAATTAAATTAAAAAATAAAATTTGAGTTTTTTTGTGATATTAAATAGTATTATTTATTAATTGAATATTGCATAAATTTTAAATACCAGGTCTAGATTATGATGGTTATCTTCTCTTTCAGAAACGTCTTCTAGTCCAACAGATTCTTTTAAAAATTCAAGATTAGAAAGAAAATTATGTAATCCTTCCAATTTCTATAAACAAAGAATGAAATATTCATGTAAGTGACAGAAATAAAATGTTAATTGTTATTGAAAAAAAAACTAATGATATGCGACCTTTCGATCTTCTTCTTCTTTCTTAAATAATTCTCTTTCCTTGGTCATGTTTTTACTAATAATTTCACGTTTTTGTTTAACTTCTAATAAATCATCCTTTACTTTTTTCATTTGCATTAATTTTTGATTAAAGAATTCATGTAGATTCAATTGCTTTTGAATAATTTCAGCCTAATGTTATTTTATAATTTACAAAATAAAATAAAAAAAGATGTGCATGTATAATTATTAACATATAATTATTAATGATGATCAACATTTTGATAAAACAAATCCTTGACAAAACCTGTTTTGTAAATTGAAGTTCAAATTCTTTCTTGAAATTTTCAATATTATTTTTGTGTGAATCTTCTTCTAACTTATCTCTAATTAAGAAAAAATCAATAAATAAACAAATATTTTATCCAATAATTTAAAAAAAATCAACTTACAAAAATTCATCAATTGTTTCATTAATGATGTTATGAATCATTTTAATTTCTACTGTAGGATTTCCAAGTTTTGAATGACTCCTTTTCTTTGCTTTTCTTACAGCATTGCTATCTTCGACTTTCTCATTAACATTTGATATATGATACTTTCTTGTTTCTGACATAATCTTTTTTAAAAATATAAAAATATTAATAAATCGTTAAATATTCATTTATAAGAAATATGATTTATTATCGTTATTGTTATAATTACTTGATTGTCATCTTTCAATGAATTTCCTTCTTGATCATTATTTGGTGGATCAATTGTTCTTTTTCTTTTATTAGGATCTGATAAATGTTCAGTAGTAAAATTTTCTTCCGAATCCTCCTCCATTTCTTTTTCTACTAATACTTCTTTATCAGTATCATCTTGAACAGGTACCATGATTGGAATATTGCTAAAAGATGCTGGTTTTTCCAGTATTGATAAAATAGAAATTGGTTTAGCCAATGATGATGCAAATGAAGGTTCAAGTACAAATGTGCCATCAAGCCCTGAGAAAATTTCTTATTAAATTATTATTATTATTTAAAATCAGTAAAGTGATTATGATTTAATTAAAAATTAAAAAATTAAAATTGCTATTTGTTAACTTAAAAAAAATGTCAATACCATTATCATTATTAATTAAAGGTAAATAACTATTCTCTTCTATATCACTAAATTTAGGTGATTGACTATTTGATGATTGCATGGACATAGATATTTGATCTTCTGGTGTAATTTCCAATGTGGTAAGATTATTGCTGCTGTTTTCATCCAATGCTGTAGGAGACGAATCATGTTTTTTTATTATGGTCAACCCTAGATAATCATTTGGAATAGTTTGTACCGGAATTGATGGTTCATCAATCTCATTTGTAATATCAATATCTAATGTGAATCTGTTAGACTGTTTTCTAGGAAAATCTTTATTTCGTTTAGTCATTCTTCTATTATCAAATAGTTTATAAAAATCAGAATCAATTAATGACATTTTGACAGATGATTCGCTTGGCTTTCCTTCCTCTACTTGAATAGCAGCTGACTTATCTAAAATTTTATTGTTTGATCCGCTTGGCCTTTCTTCTACTTGAACAGCAGCTGATTTACCTAAATATTTTTTGCTTGAATATTTTACTTCCTCTAATTGATTAGTATTAGGTTTATTTGATTCATTTGACTTTGTTTCTTCTGCTTGATCAGTAGATTTGTCTAAATTTAGATTGATTAGACCATTTAGTCTCTCTACTTCTACTTGCTTAGTAGATTTATATAAGTTTTGATTGTTTAAACCATTTTGCCTTTCTACTTCGACTTGCTTGGAAGATTTATCTAGACTTGGATTATTTGAATCAATTGAATTTTCTTGAATTTCTGATATAAGATTAGTAATATTTCCTGTAATCAAAGAAGAAGGAAGTTCAAGATTTTCTATCATCATGTGTGTTTCAAGTTCATTTATTTCTTTAGTGTTTTTAGTATTTCTGGGTGATTCAGGAATTATAAGTGATATAGGTGAATTAGGCAATTTATGTGAATTATTATTAGATGCAGCCGAAATTTGCTTTTGTTTTTTAGAATTATCGTCATCACTTTGTTCAATATTTGAATCATCAAAAATTGATTCAAAGGATATATCTAGTGGATCTACGCCTTCAGGTAATTTAATAGTATTTCTTCGATCCAATCTACATTAATGTGAAATTTTCATAATTAGTAAAAATATAAGAATTATATACGAGAGTATATAGATACATTCATATTTATACGACTTTATAAATTGTTAGCTGTAGACACACCTTGAATTTCTTGTTCTTGTAAGTAAACGTTCTTGATATCTTTCATTGATCTCAAGAGAAGTTTTATTGTTGATACTAACCATGTTTTTTTTCTTATAATATATAAAAAGAATTTATGAATTTATTATTATTATCAGAATAAACGTTCTTCTAAAATAAATTGTTTACAAGTTATTTTCCAAGGAGCAAATAAAAATTTTTAATTATCACGTCTATCCTATATGTACGCGAAAATATTAATATATGAATTCATGATTAATCAATCAATCACACCAATTGATCCTTGTACTACGTATTTATATTTTTTTATAAAAAATGTCATTTTCTTTAACAAAATCATTACTTAAAAGAACAAATCTTCATAAAAATTTATTACAAACAAGAAGAGCCAGTGGAGGACATGGACACGAACCAGAGTTTAATGAACCAAGTGGTTATTTATTTGGAGAAAAAGTTCGTATTTTTAGAAATTTATATAATTTCATCTTTGAATGAATTTCAAAATTTATTATTTTTAAAAATACTAGCCACCTCCACCAGGACAAAAACGTGTGAAAGAAGATTGGGAAAATTATTGGTATTATGGTATGGGTGGATCATTATTATTAGGAACAATAATATATTTTTATAAGCCAGATACAAGGTAAAGAAGCATTAACATTAATGTTGATTTTTTTACATCATTACTAATTATATTTTTGAATTAAAAAAGTGTAAACACTTGGGCAACAAAAGAAGCAGAAAAACGATTACAGGAAAGAAATGTAGTCTTGGATTATCCTAAAACTGAAAAAAAGCTTTAATTTTAATTATTTAAAAAAAAAGACAATAAATCACAATTTTATAATCTTTAGATTATGTCAGGAAAAAAATATTGTTCTTTAAAGCTATTCCTCGTCCTATTTTTCACCAAATTGAGATCAAATTCAATTATTGTTTTACATATGACTAAAATTATCATCACCATCACTGTTATCGTTTTCTTCTCCCAACTCATCCACATCTTCTTTTACATCACTATCTCCTTCTATTTCTTCTTCATCCTCTTCTTCATCAGTAAAACTGTCAATTTGTATATTTTGTAATGAGAATGTTTCGCCACGTTCTAATTTTCGTAAATAAGATCTCTTCTGACGTTCTGACAATTTTGATAAAAATTTTTCATGTTCTTGTTGTTCCCTTAACAATTCTTTATCACTTTTAATACCACTAAAGAATGAAAAAAAAAAGATTTTGTGAATTAATAGTTTTTTTTCTTACAAAAATGAAATCAAAAAAAATTTAATTTGAACCTTTTTATAATTTCATTAGATTCTTGACATTTTGCACAGACATTTTTACCTGATGCACATTTACTGCATAATACGTGGTAAGCTTCTTTGACATTTTTCTCGTTACAATTAACGCTTTGTTTTAAATTTTTTTGATGGGAAAAATCAAAATTTTATAATTCTAAAAATTCTAAAAATTCGGATTAAATATTAAATTAAACAATCAATTGTAGATATTCACCATTTTTTAGCAACAGTTAATGTTTTGTATTTTTTATATTTCTTTTTCCATTCAACAATATCTTTACATCTTTTACACCTAAAATTAATCAATCGACGTAAAATTTACATAATAATATTAATTGTATTATTTTTTGTTGTTATTTGTTGTTATTATTATTATCATTATTATTAAGTACATACAATCCATCAATTGGCAAAGAATTTATTATTTTTGATTTCTTTGAATTTTTATTTGGTTTAAAAGCAAAAGAATTTTGATATTTTTGTCCTGGTTTTTTTTGCTACTTAATGAAACTTTTGTCATAATTATTTTTTAGATTGATTGATCAACATTTGATCAACATTTATATTTATATATTTTTTTTATATAATTTCATTAGATAATTTCCAAATTAACTTTATGAGGCTATTTATTCCTCTTGAAAATAATTAAAAATATTAATATTTCAGAGAGAACAATTAAAATAGTTAAATTGAGACTGAATAAATTTCATAGACTGATCTAAATATTACCTAGGGAGCATGAAATCAGAATCAGTATTAATAAAGTTGTTTATTAAATTTAGATAAGAGTTGTTTAGAATAAGGTAGGAATTTGATAAATGCTGAAATAGTACCAAATTAATATTAATAGTAACAAATAGCTGGATGAGTATAATTGATTAGCTGTTTATTTTTTAGATTGATGTTGTTTTGCTTTAACCATGAGTTAAATAATCTCATAGTAACAGTTTATTAAACTATAGGAGATGATGTGGAGAATGGTGGAAGTTGTTTTATGAGAATTAAATATTGAGTAAAGTTGATTGGATTTATGAATTACTCCAGCTGCAGGAATTATAGGAGGAATAGAGGTTGTAGTAATTGTCTAGTAATATGGGAAAACCTTTTAACCTGATAAAAAATTTAAACATATATGCAAGGTAATTAATTATCTGCTCAAATTTGTATAGAGACATACATGTATTGTGTTATTTTATCATCAACAGATGAAAATTTAAAAAGACCCATATACATTAACAATGCTACCCAAATCTGAATAAAGTTTAGTATTCTCATTGATGCCAATTACTTCTAAATCTTCACTTAAATCAACCACATAATGTTCTTTATGTTTCAAGGTACTTTTTGGTTAATGCCAATTATTTTACATTTATGGCCAAGTTTGAATCAACTTTTGAGCCACATTTGTCAATTGGTTGCAAACTTTTATATAATAAATGCCCATCAATTAATTTAAGCTTTGGCAAATACAATTTACAATAAACAAATGTGGATCATTTATAAAGCAACAAATGCTTTTACAAAGTTCCTTCTTTATCTACTTTTATTTTTCTTTTGCTGATTAAAGCCCTGTTGATTCAGTCTCTTACAAGACTCCTTAAACTGTCTATTTTAAGAGCAGTACAACACTAATTTAACTCAACACAATAACAATGTGTAATAATGACTTTAGTTAATAAATGTCAGCATTTTATATTTTATATCTTGCCAAACAACTTTAATCTGCAATTTGTGATAAATGGGAAGGATTGATATTAATATTAATATACATTTTGGTAAAATTCAGGGTTAATAATCATAAGAAAATTAATTAATAGTCAAAATCCTGAATCAGTTTCTATTTATAGAAATTTAAATGTCCATTTTAAATGTAAAGTCTTGTTCCAGTAGGTGAAATGAAACCACATTCACATTATCTGCTAAATGCAAGAGAAAGAGCAAAAGCAAGGTACAACTAAATTGACTGTACTGCCTATTGAAGTCTTTAAAGCATTATAATTTAGTAAATTATTATCATAAATTCTATTATTCTATTATTATTATTATATTTAAAAAATAAAATAGTTTTAAAGATAACAAATATAACAGTTGATTTATAATGAGCAGACATATCAAAATCATCAATTGTCTAAAACATGTTAAATGAATATTTATTTATTATCATTAAATTTAACAATGATTTTTTTCTTGGCTATTCTAGTTTAATGTATATGCTATTAATACTACTATCGATATATTACTATAACATTGCATTAATTAATTTTCTTCTTTGTCAAAAAAATAGATGGTTTTGGTGGTGTACAACCAGAAAGAATTGTTATGCGACAAGTATAGGGACATTCAGTATGGTATAACTCTTGCAAAACGTATGGTATGGTATTGTATAAGTGTAATAAAATGGTTGTATACCAATGCTTAAATCTAACATACTTCCCTTCACACCCACCAAAAAAGGATTTAGAATAAAATTTTGTGTGACTTGGTATGGAAAAATATGGGCTATACCATACCATACCATATGTTCTGCAAGGGTTATACCATACTGAATCTCTCCCTACTGTGTAATTAATTACCATTTTCACTCTTTAAAAACGTAATACGTAATACATAATTACATTTTTGGCAAAACAATTACCATCCCATGTATATATAAAAGAGAAAATAAAAATATTCAACTGGTTCCATGAAAAATAATTATGTTAGATTTAAATTATTTATTTTTACTAAAAATGGATAAGATAAATTATCTTGAGACCTGCAATTTATTGATCAACTGAAACTGATAAACAAATAAATATATAAAAGATAATTATTGTTATTTCTAAAAAACAATTGTTGATTATACTCCTGGAATTTAGTTGCATCATTATATCATCGAGGGGTCGCAAGTCAGATTAGCCTTGTGTACATGAGGAACATGTGAGAATGACTGTAAAGTGTTCAAGGTAGCATGCGTGCTTCAATGTCTGCCAAATTTCCAATAATCAAACATCACATATTCGAAATATTTCTTTTTGAGCAGCCAATGCTGTCTTAACATTTTCTTGTAATTATATTAATATTTATTAATGATTATGAAAAGCGAAATAGCAATCATTCATTTACTTCAATAAGAATCTTATAATTACCCAGCAAGGTCTGATTTCAATTATAACATTTATTAAGACATCAATGCAAATTAAAAAAAAGTTACCTCTGGTTAGTTATTAATAAAGACTAGTGCTGTAAATTATGATGATGGTAGTAATTGTATTTACGGCATATAAAAAGTGGTCACAATTACCTT